TTGAGATGCCAGCTCTTTTGACAATAGAAAATGAATCAAAACATAAGTAAAAAAGAAACAAAAATAGAAAACACTAGATAAAAGAATTATTATACATAAATTATATATCCCAGAAATCAATGAAATCATGAAATACTCCAGTTAACACTGAATCAATTGGAACACAATATATTTTTTCAAAACAAATTTTTATGGGACAGGTAGAGCCTTGGTAGATTAGTCAAGTATATACCAGTACTTAGCAATAAGCAATATGATAGAACTATTCTTAGTGAGTTTAATTAGGTAGCTAGAGAGTTAAATTTGTATAAAATAAATTTGTACATACTCACAACAATATCTAATAAACAAGGTGTAAGCCACCCAGTTAAAAAAAATTTGCAAAAGACTTTAAAATTTTATATTAAGATAATCTAATAATTAAATTATTTTATATTAAATATTTAATTTATTTTATCTATTGATGATTTTATTTATTGAATAGTAAAGAATAAATTTATAAAAAATGAATTTATAAAGAATTAAGCAATGGATTCTATTTTACTGAGTTCCAAATTTCTTTCAATAAATTTATATTAAAATGTAATTAATTGTGATACATTGAGAAAAAGTTATCATATTCAATATATATTTTATTAAAAATATATTAGCTTAAAAATTTGATAAACCAGATGCAAAATAATTATTCTGATATTTAACAATAATTAAATCAAATAATATAACAGAAAAACAATAACAAAATTTTAAAAAACTTGTGTATAAATTTTTTTATAAATATCTAGAAATCTTATTTATGCTATTAAGTTCAATAAAAAATAGAATATATTTTTTAATTGATGATAAAATTTATCAATTTTTTTAAAAATATTCATAACTATAGTCAACTAATCTAAAGTTGCATCTTTTTGTTTAACTTATAAATCAAGTAATTCAAACAATTCTTGCTATTTTTGCTTAGTTACAAAAAAAAAATCTTATAGAAATAAATTTAGCAATATTTCAGAGCTATAAAAATGAAAAAAATATTTTTATCAAATTTAATAAAATTGGTATCAATAGCAAATATAATAATTTTTTTGGAATATTCTATAAGTTATTATAATTTTTATAAATAATTTATTTATTATAGGCTAAATTAATTTTTATTAATTTAAAGTGAAACAAATATACCGTATATAAAACAATAAACCTGATAAAATATTATCTTGATTTAGATTTTTAAATATTAAATTAAATATATTCAAGAATTGTTAAAAGAGTTTTGAAGTCAATTACTTTTAGATAATGGGTTAAAAATTTGTAAAAATTTCAGAATTTCTGAAATTAAAAATTTTTTGTATAAATTCAATTTATTGCAAGATTAATTATAGATGAATATAAAAATTTAATAAAAGTTATAATTTTTGTAATGAATAATATACAATATATGATAAAAATATAAAAATACTGATATTAAAGAATTATTGATAATTTATCAAGAATAGAATAAAATATATATTATTAATAGATATGAGAAATTCTCTAAAAGTAATTTAAAAAAATTTAAACTAATAAATATTTGTTTATATAATTACTGTATATTATAAAATATCTAAACCATATATTATAATAGGTATCTATAAATTCTTAAAACAAATATTTATAAAAGCATTTAAAAGAATTTCAGTTTTACAATTAAAATTTCCAAAATTATATTTATGAATATATAAGTCACAACTTTACAAGTAACATTAATAGAAAGTTTAGTTGAAATATATATTATAGTCAAATATATATATCTAAGTAGAACAACTTAGGGAAAATTGATCAAAAAATAACATATGGAAGATGATTAAAAAAGAAAAACTGGTCTTTTTGAGCAAGGATGTTGAATATTATCAAAGCAAATAACATAAAATTGAAGCTAGTCAAAATCAAGGTATAGCCAATGTTATAGAAAATAATATGGTAGACAAACTAGTCAAATAAGTACTAAACCTTTCAACAATAAAGTAAAAAGATCTCAAGTCTGACAAGATTATCACAGAAGTGAAATAGCAGGACATAACGCTGGATAATATCATAAAACAATTTATAAAAAATGAATAATAAAACAATAATACATACATTACTATTCTCATCAGGAGAGGTGGCATGACCAAAATTTTCATTAGTTTGATTTCTCGAATCCTCTGGTGTTGTACTAGTATCCTCGATTACAATGGGTTTGTAGTCTGATTATACATAGAAATAGAATTATTGGGCATAGGACTTGCTGCTTAATTTTGTGTTGAAGCTTTGTCCACTTGCTTCCCTTGATGTACAAGGGAGATCTACCAACCCTAGTGTACTCAAAACTTCTAATCCATTTTCTTCATCTTCGATAGTAATATCACTTCACTGGGATGCTTTTTTTCCCAAGATCTTGATGAGCCTCTGTCCCTTCGATTTTCTCGAGTACTATCTCTTACTTACCAGAAGGAAATTTAATGAAAGTGCTTTGAGTTAGGAAACATCCATTCTCTCAGTATGAATCTCTGGAGCACTAGAACAAATCTCGCTGGCCATATCGATAAATTCGAGATCGTTCCGGCCCTTCTATTCATATACAGTATCTATATATTTTCTACGTGCAAGAGCTAAAACAAAATTAGTTTTAAGTGCGGAGAAATGACCTAAAAGTCTACGTTAATTAGCGGTATTGTACATCCCGAAATTAGAACGAAATACGTTATGCACAATCTATAAATCTGGAGATCGCCTTTCTTTAATATGAATAGCAAGAAGTTCACGCAAAGATACAAAAAGTTCGGACGTAACCCGCATACATGTGATATTTTTTTTTTTCTAATCTAACCCGACTCTTCCGTGAGATTACTTGATGACCTATGCTTTTTTGTACCATCAGTTGATCTCCCCTTGCGAAAATTCCATTGGTTTCTGTGCCTCCTCTAATAATCCCATAATACGACCTAGGACCTCTTCCATCATAATTTGTATATTATCACTTTTATACACAATAATCGTTGGTTCTGATAGCTTAAATGACGGCCTTCCTTCCTCATCTGGATTACATTCCATAAAATACCATTCTTTTGCATCCGTAACGATCCCAAACACCTTATCCACACCTTGTTCACTGTCTATTTCATCGGCTTTGCACGGATGCATGGTCAAATCCCTTCATAAAATCCTCCCTCTTGACTTCGACTAACTCAACGATCCTATTGGTTAAACAACACTCAATCGTATAATCTAGGTTTCACTGCCCATTCCGACCTTCAACAAGTTTTTCGGATATTATATTAAAATTGTTTTTATAGAATGACTCCAGCGATCAGGTAACAATATGAATAAATAGATTTCGTCGCCTCATACGCCATGTCAAGTGGAGTAATGTCTTGGAGAAGTTTCAAACACGACTTGAGTTTTTTCGTTCTCTAGTTCTACAAATCCGCATGAAAAAAATAGGAAACATCTAATGATCGGGTTTGGATCGTTACTAAGCCCATAGAGTTCGCACACCTTTGGGAATGTCCACTTGTTGAATGGTTTCGAATACAATGAACCTTTTTTTGTAACTAGCAATTGTAACATCTCACGGAATGATGCATCATCTCTAGGTAAATATACATCTCCACCGTTCATGAAGTTTAATACCGCTCCATCACTTTCAAGTGCCGGTGGTTGGTACATTTTACGTACGGAATTTTTAAGGCCTTCGAGAGATGCGTGTTCGATATTTACATTCGTTCGTTTCGGGTTAACAACAACGTCGAATTCTGTAACACGACTTAGTAAAAAATTCGATTATTCCGCGTGAAAATCTTCATGCCGATCACTTTTGCAAGAATTATTCCGAAAAATTTTTAATTCACTACCTATACATATTATTTGAAACACGTACCATGAACGACTTGTTAATCGATGCCTGTAACGAAGCAAGTTTCTCCCGTAATTGTAATGCCTCTTAACTCGAATCGATTGACGCAGGTGTTTCGACTATGATATGGATATACTCTCTTGGGTGGCTTATCGGACCAGTAATCCTCTAAATCTCGAGTTGCAAGGAGTTCGGTTTGATTTTGGAGTGAGAGATTAGCTCAGCTGATCGTCGTGATCATCACCTTCCATGTCTGCAGGAAAATATTAAATTCTGGTACCTTTTCCGCTTTAATGACCTTTTTGAGGTGACCAACAAGCTGGTCCTTATCTATAATAGGAAAAGCAAAGTGATACTTATACAGTATATTGTTTTTTGGTGAAATGTAATTGGTTCAGTGGTGTGAAAAAATCAGGTTTTATGGACGGAGTTCTAAATTATAAATATGTCAGTTACGTACTTTTCACTGAAAATTTTTTTACTTTAAACACGAACACGCTAACCATTTTTATACGCGTAATGTTATCCGGTACCGCAGAAATCATGGTATTTGAAAATCTGAATAATACATTTTATAAATATTTTTTTAATGAGTTTCCAGATCTTCTGCGTCGTTTTAGGTGAAACCTTCGCCAATTCTTTCCCGGTTGATGTCAGCAAGGACATGCTTGTTGGGCATCTCAAAGAACTTGTCAAAAAGAAGAAGGAAAATACCTTTGCGAATGTTGATGCTGACAATCTGATGCTATGGCGTGTGGATATTCCCACCGAAGTTGAAGATATGGGAAGAGAAATATACGCCGAAAATATCAAAGAGGGTGTGATGTTATCTCCATTCAAAACTGTTGGAAATTATTTTCACGAATCCACTAATAACATCCGAATTATCGTACAACCACTTGTCACCACTGGTAAGTATTTTACCGCTCGAACAAGAAATTTGCTGTTGTCTCATTTTTTTATTTCTTTCATTTGGCTAGCAAAAAGAAAAGGGGAAAGTGACGAGGAAAGTGGGAACCGACAGAAAAAGAAACGAACATGTATGTAATATATTGCTTGTAACGTTAACTCGTAATCTCGGTTTGTTCTCTAAAGTTTATTTCTTCTTTCTACGATTTATCTGATATTAAAGATCCTGATGAATCAGATGAGGGTCGGGACAGTCTTATGGTTATCTCATCTGAAAGATTAAAGTGGATCACTAAGTTTGTGGAAAATCACCATATTAGCCTTTTGCGCAGTCCTCCATCATCAGGCAAGAGTACTCTTGGACAGGTGCTCCGTGACTATTTTGAAAGTCTCAATTATGATAGTATATACATTAGTCTTGCTGGTATACATGGTGGAACAGAAATCCACGATAAGAACCTCTTTGAAAATTTCTGGAAGGACAAAGTTGGTAGGACCTGGACAGAAATCCGTAAATGCAAAAAGTCTACTTATGTGTTCATCGATGAGATACAGATTATCTATGGTAATGGCGCTCCATTCTTTTGGGGTACAGTGAAAGATCTTTTGTCAAGCGAATCAAATCTTCAAAATATTCGGATAATTTTGCTCGGCACATACCATCCAACACTTGATCCTCAAGTGACACCCGTACAAATTCGCCATACACTTGGTTTGAATGCCCTACTTCTAACATGGGAAGAAGTTCGTCAGCTTATAATAAACTATATTCAGAGACATGCTACTTTGGGTAGTCCGAGTTTTACCATCCCTGAACCTGTTCGGAAGGCAATATTTAATCTCACTGGTGGACATCCCGGTTTGTGTCGATTCGTTTTAACCGCTTTACGCAATCAATTTCGCGAAAATGGAAAAACAGTGGAAATGTTACGATATCTTGCTTCATCACAGCTACGAGATGGTATAATAACAACTTCACGTGCTTTTTTCTGGATCCGTGATTGGAATATAACTTATGAAGAATCAGAATTTATTCGCGAAAAGCTACTCTATCAAATCGGCATTCCTTTCGCTGCTAATGCCTTAAATCCTGTTGCTAATAAATTTATTAAGATGGGTCTCTTCTCCACGGTTGATATTAATGAACAAATCCAATTTTCCGCCCCTATAATGCGAGTTATTCTGAGTCACCACCTATTCACCGCCCCTGTAAATTTCAAGTCATTACCAGCAGAAACATTTGAAGAGTTTTTGGTGCGAACAATTGAGCGCATGAGCCCATCTAAGTTGTATAAATCGTTTGGAAAAGGATATGGTGCTAATTCACATATATATGAGAGGAATTGGCAAATGGAATGGTATCTTACTGCTACAACTGTAGTCCCAGAAGGTACTTCAATAAGTGCTGATGTTGGTGCCGTGTTTGGCACTGCTGGATTTCTGGATTTCTATGTTAATGAAAAACTTTGCTGGGGAATAGAGCTGACGTGCGAGGGTAATCGTTTGAAGGAGCACGCAGAACGATTTGAACAGGATGGCAAGTACGCTGACATTCCATTAAAAAATTGGGCCATCATTGACTTTCGACATCATACAAAACAAGTAAGAGAATTAAAACAAAACTTCTGGTATGTGCTCTATGAGGATAACTATAAACGTGTTACTATCAAACGTCGTGATCAGAATGACAAAATCCTAGACTTATATGGTGATGAAGCGTAAATATGATTGTCAAGCTAATTGGTAGGATTTTCATTCAACGTGGTATCATGCGCATAATGATCGGCGTTATGATTAGTGTTAAGTTCCGAATGATGCTTGTCATCTTGCTTAGTGAAACGTAAAAAAATACAACGTGACACCCATAAACAAGTAGATAGAGTGAACATCGTTAAGCCAGTTAAGTCCAAAAAAGCAAAGACACTTGAGGCAGTAAGCGATGTCATCTATAACCGTAAATTGGTCTGCTAGTATATATACGAGTGTAGGGTGTTTTAGCATATAAACAAATAAAAAACAAATCTTGATAGTAGAAATTAGATATTAGATATTATGTGTATGATTTTTTTTTTTTTTTTAGATTTATGACTGAAACCAATAAAGAAATATCTCGTATTGTTAAGCGAGTATCGGGTAAAAAAATCTGAATCTCACTTCTCCGATTACTGGAGATAGCAAGACCTGAGATTCAGCAAGATGTTATAAACTCGATAACGAACTCGGACAATTTTCGGCAACGTATCCCGTGTAAGGCTAAAAGAAAAAAAATAGTTTTTAACGATACCGCCTCTGAGTCCTCATCTTTATCTGGATCTGGGTCTGACTTTGAATGTTATAATGATGATAAAGATTTTACTGTGGGTATTATACAAGTGAAGCAGTGTGATTAGTCTTTATCATCAGAAATTTCTTCATAGATGTCAATGATACCTCTTACTTCTTCATATCCTTGTTTAATAATAGATTATTCGGTCTGTTATTCGTTATACCGTAATTATCTAATGCTTCTCGACTTATTTTATGCCTTAATGCTAATTTACGAAGCTTATTACAATGAACGTCACTCCTACCTTTATTTTCTTAAATACGATGAATCAATGCCATAGAGAATTAAAAAGTTATTAATCGGATGGACGTTCACTTTACCACCTTTATCCTTTACTAGAAATGGAAATCTCCTCGGAATATATTTGTGAATCCAAGAAAGTAACTCAATAGTTCGTAATGAGTCTTTTTTCATCGATACGAATGGCCTAGGCTCGTTATTTTTATTTCTGGCATAGCCAGTATAGTACCAAGAATATTTAGGATCATATCATTCTGCATTATTTGAATCATACTGGTCTACAGTATATGAAAATTTCTCACAACTGCTGACCTCATACATAGAATTACCATTATATCAATTAAATATTGTATTGTGGGAGAATTAACTGTCACATTTTTTGAAGTCTTCTCTGCACTTTTTCTAGAGTAAAGAATTCGGGTCAATCAAATCCCTAATCTTCACGAAGCTCTTGTCTTCTCCCTTGTTCTTTATTTGATGCGCAAGCAATTTCTGGGACATATATAGCTTCTAATGTAATGTAATTGCATTGAGTTGGCAATATTCTTTTCGAAGTAATTTAAGAAGGATTGGGCTATATCAGTAGGGCCTGTTTTTGCCAAATTACAAACCAATTCATTTATTTCTTCGGCTTCAAAATTATCTTCTCCTTAATATACAAAGCAAGTTTCTTAATTGGATCCCTACCTGTAACGCTTCTTCCAGGTGTTTGGACAGGTATTAAACCATATGTTTGGTCTTTACTAAATCCTAATCTCTGAATCTAATTTAGTCACGATCACGGGTCTTTGCATCTTTCAAATTTTCAACCAATAATTCAGCATAATTATCTAGTTAAGCCATGCTCATCTGAGGAGTTAGGTTATACTGATTTGCGAAATTTGTAGCTACTTTCGACATCGTTATTATGGTATATTTATTTGGACTATAACTATGGAAATTCTTTTTTCAAATTGAAGTTAACTATCACGAGTAGATATATACGGTATACCCAAATATTGAATGGGTTGTGTTTAATGTAATTCTGTAAGATAAGCAAAAATATAGAATATATTAAAGAGGATATAGCATTACTTAGTGAGGTCTTGGAAAAAAATAATTGATATATACTGTAACAGGGACATGATACACATTAATGCCTTGGGTCAGATATGTCGATTTGAAATTTACCAATACATAGGATACGTATAACGTAAAAAATTTATAGCTTCGAGATGTGGCGACTCAGGCTATCTAATATGTCAGTTTATTTTTCTAATGCTTATTCCTCACGAATTGGAGGGATTTATAGCCTTTCCTCTTCCAAATATACAGTATATAACCATCACTGTCAATATATGTATGTGTAGTATCGCGTTGGTATTCTTTAATATGTGTAATACATTTTCTACACCAATATTTAAATCAATGTTTATAACAATTTTTTACAAATTTTGAATATTATGTTATGCATGTAATAAAGTGGAAAATTTGATATGAATCGCCTTACTTGTACATGTTAAAATGGATGGTAGAGTTTGTGGGCGAGTCTGTATTCGTTTAACTGGGTGCGCTCTTCATTGGAAAACGAGTACTAATAAATTGTATCACCGATGTCAATGTTGTCTATTTCCATGAACTCACTCATTTGATTCCTCCTGAGATTCTGCAGAAAGAGATAACTGTCTTTTGAATTGCATAGTCAATCCTGTAAATTTACTTTTGGTAAAACTTTCGACTTGTAGGTCATCATTCTATATGACTTTTAAACACTACAAAGAAGAGTCCGATTTCGTGTAGGGATTAAATTCAATTGTATAAATAGCTTCAGGAATGTTTCAATATTCATAATTCCCGTGTTTTTATTTCTTCGTTTTTTAATATTTTATCAGATTTGGATAATTATGATAGAATTTTTTTGTCATTTTGCCATTCTGTGAGAATTTCATAAATCTTTTCGCATATGGACGTTTTGAGGCATTTTCATTCCAATAACTTTTCATGAGATCAATATAATATTGCGGTGTACCAAAGACAATTGGAGGTCGTAAGCCATTACACACCTGAATTTTAAAATCACTCTGGGACGAATTACTGAAAGGCACCGCTCTTCCTGATGAAATTTCCCACATAAGTATGCCAAATGAATAAATATCTGATTCTAGGGTATATGCAGAACTACATAAAACTTCTGGTGCAATATATGGTAAAATTTCATAGATTCCATTGCTCTCTGCTGCTACGTTGCCAGAAAGACCCAGATCTGCGATGTATGCACCTTGCATTGTTTTTTCTAACATTATATTACCTCTATGTAAATCCCGATAAGTATTTTTTTTCTGCAAATATTTCCCTTATCTCATAATAATAATCATAATCATCGGAGTTTTTGTATTCGTTATTTGCTATGAACGTATACTTAACTTATTTACGTATATAAAATGATTAGTGACTAGTTAAATATGATTACCTAATAATTGATTTAATAATTGATTTCTTTCTCTAATCATGCAATTATATGTACGTACTGTATATTTCACTGTATATCATTATAAAAAATCATTCTATCAAAATAGATTGCATACATTCGATACCAATGTGTAGCCATCTCCATTTCGATAACAGTCTGCAAGTGCATCCATTCCACTTACGTAACCCATATCGACAGATTTTTGATAATTTTCGAATGCCTTATGTTCATCCTTTTCAACTCCAATTCCTTTCCCGTAGTGACATCTGACATTTATATTCCATTCACATGGCCCATCTCAGCAGATTTTTGATAATATTCGAATGCCTTATGTTCATCTTCTTTAGCTCCAATTCCATTTTGATAACGCCAGCCAACTAGAAACATGTCATCTTTATCACCCATCTCGGCAGATTTTTGATAAAATTAAAATGCCTAATGGTTGTCTTTTTCAACACATACCAAAGCGATAACAACTTGCAAGAATATTTTGCGCAGTAGAATTTGCTTCAATATTTAAGCACTAGTTAATAATGTCCGGTTTTTGTTGCTTTTTTGCTAAATATTGGAAAATTAAGTCAAGAATCAAATTGGTATTTTTCTCGGATTTTTCTTCGACATACCGGCTTGAGTGCGGGTATTTCAGTCGTACACGAGTAAAATCCGGTTTGAACGTGAAAAGTCTAATTTTTGTATTCAATTAATAATGTTAAAATGGTGATTTATACTTCCGGATCGACGATAAAGAAACCAATTTTCGTGCAATTATTAATCATGGAATTTACTTTGTTATATTTTGACTTTTAGTTTTTAAAGGTGATTTTCCTTGATTACATTTAAGATCTTTCGTAAGATGTCAAAATAAAAGAAATTTCTAAAAATGAATGAAGTCAAAAAATCAATGCTTTGAAATATTTCTACTGTTGTAAAAAATCTTAAATTTGCATTAGGTAAATGGATTAATAAAGTATCGGGAGAAATTACATTCTGCCTTATAAAAAGATTATTATGTTCCTATTGATTGTTTATCATTATTAAAAATTATAATACTTATTTTGAATAATCAAACAAGTATAGACTTTTTTTAATAAACTAGATTATAAATATTTGCCAAAAGTATATAAATTATTAATCTGAGCATAGCTAGGACTATGCATGTTAATGTTGCAATATCTTTCTATCCATCCACTCTTCTGTTGATTCAATAGGTACTAATCAGTAATCAGTTAAAATTTAGCTCCGGACTTAATAATTTTCCAAGTATTTAAAATTCATGAAAAAGTCAGCCTTTGGAAAAAAATTTTTAATTCAAAAATATTTATAAAATTTTAAATTAC